GAGTTTTTCGTAATTTTAAAGTTACATTTAAAATTGTATAAAAGGATTAATAATTAAAGATAGGATATTTATTATTATTTATATATATATTTATTTATTAAATAATACTATTTTGATATCTTCAACATAGATCGAAGAGAAAACGTTAATAATTATTTCAATATTTGAGCGAAACATTTTGCCAGGTTAAATCTACGATCGTTAGCACGTTAACTCTTTTTTTGTAATACATCGCAGTATGGCGAATTTTGTGACATTAGCTAGCATCGTAATTTACAGAGGGAGATAGTTTTGCGACTAAAATATATCGTCGATTTAATTACCTAATTTATAATCTCAATAGGACGTGTTCATTTATAATTTCGTTATAATTAATTATTACAACGATATGAGAAATTTATTTATTTAATATCTTTTATAATAATATTTATGTTTAATAGAATAATACGAGACATTTTTGGGGGGAATTTATTGTTAGAATTATAATATAACAATTTATTACGACGATTATAATTTTATTATTTTTCTTGTGTCTATTTTATTTTATTTTTTATTTTTTCCATGAATTTATATGCAAAAATTTCAAGCCAAGAATTTCAACGGCACTTGTTGCTCCGAATTTCTCGCGTAACGTTTGAGAAAAGCGGATTATTTGCCATAGTATTTACGTATTATATTTATGTAGTATTTTTTTTTTTTGTAATACAAAAAAAAAAGATATATAGTTATATAGAGAATATTGAGAAATAGGGGATTATTGAAGATTGAAAATTTGAATAGAAAAACAAAACCCTTATAATTATTTTAGTCATAATCCGTATTAAAGTATATTTGTTAAAGAATAATAAATTCTTTCGTTAGTACGGATAATATTTCATTTGAATTTTGTTCGATGGCAAGGAGGAACACACAATCGGGATGGGGGCTGTCTTTTCCAGAAGGAGAATAATAGCAAGAGAGGAAACATGCTTGAAAAATATATATATATATATATATATATATATATATATATATATATATATATATATATAGAATGAGAGAAATATTGAACCGATGCCAAACAGATAGGGTTTTTATAAGATTCGACACTGATCGTTCTCCAAGAAGAAGCCAAAGAAGATGATCGTGCTGACGTTTGATATAGGATAGACACGTCTCCGTTATTTCACGCGATAAAAGGAAAAAGTAGTGCTAGAGATAGATAGATAGATAGATAGAGAGAGAGAGAGAGAGAGAGAGAGAGAGAGAGAACGAGTGATAAATAAAGAAAATTTTATATACTTATAGCAAAGTATAATAAATATGAAAAGAGAATAAATTTGGAAATTAATATTAGAGTTCGTTAATTTTCAAATGCAAAAATTATAACAAAATGTTAGAGGTATGTGAAATGAAAAATTAGTTGATAGGGATAGAAAGATACAAATGTATTACTTCAAAGCATTGTATTATATAATAAAAATGAAAAAAATATATAAAAAATAGTAGAGAATGAGAGAGAGAGAGAGAGATAGGAAAAAAGATAATACATTTTTTATTGGACTTAATTAAAGTATAACGAAAAAATTAAAGCGTATGAAATTAAAAATTAGTGGATATTGGGATTGAAGAGGGTAGAGAGAGAGAGAGGAAGATTGAAATTACGTATACCTAATTGCATAAAATATATGAAAAAAAAAGAGGGAAAAAAAACAATTTAAAGCATATAGGATTGGAAATCGCGAGACAAAATGAGATTAAACAAAAAAAAAAAGAAAAAAAAAAGAGAAAGTAGATTTTAATCGACGTAGGACGATATTGAAAAAAAAATGTAGTAAATAAAATAGGAAAAAATAAAATATATATATTTGTCGAATGTAAATACTCAATGATTGGATCATCTTGAATCTTAATCGAAAATTTATTAAATATTTAAAATTGATATAATATGAAAATCAAATAGATGATAAAATATATAAGCGCGATAGGGGAAAAAAATTGAAAATTTAAATCTGTACAAGTTTAATGGGATATTTATGATCCCTACGATTAATTTCAAACAAATCTGTGAACGACGAGGAGAAATTTCAATGAAAATAGAAAGAGACCGCGCGCGCGAAAGTTGGATTTTAGGAAATAATTGTTTCGTCATCGTCACGACAGACGCATACATAACTCTGCGGTGTGTTCTCACAATAAATCGCGAAGTCTAATTGCGGTTTCTGCACCACCATTTAATATCGAATCAAACGCGAATCACGTACAAAAGTGATACGTTGTTTTTTATCATTTTCGAGAACCCATTTTCAACTCCAATCGTATTTTCGTTAATTATCTTTTTAAACGATAGATTACAAGATTATTATATTGATATTTTTACAAGATAAATTTGAAGAATTGTTAAAGTGTTGTTGTTGTATGTGTGTTTGTACGCGCGTGTTTAGATATAATATGTGTGTAATATTGTAAATGAAATTATAAGCAAATCGAATATTATTGGATTTAATCGTGATCGATTATATCGATCAACAGATATTTCCTGTGATTGGTATACGATTAATGTAATGTGTACAATCACGCAACAATGGCCGCCGGTTTACCCAGTATGTATGCGGATAGCTCTTCCGGCTATCGTGTTCGGTATCTATTCCACACAATTTCGGAATTTCATTCACATAGTTGCCAATGCGAGAATCGAACATCCGTTCTCTCTTTTTCCACATGGAAATTATTAATACGTTTAATTATTAAATTGCCGTTAACAATTTTTTATCGTTCTATTCGCAACACCGACTTGCGAGAGATATAAAAATAAAACGGTGTAGAAAATAAAAAAAAAAATAAGAAACTCTTTTTTATAATATTCCTGGATTATTATTTTTCTATATTTTTTGTATTTCTTTCTTTGTTTTTTCGTTTGTGTTTCATTTTACGTTCAATTTCTCGGTTTTTTTTTTCTTCAATCATTATCGTCGAACCGAGAGAATCTAAATAATGGCGTATAAATGATAAATTTTGTATGATAAATTTTCTATTTGGTTGTATCGCACTTAATCATGATTAATGCATGCTATTTATTTCGAAGTAAATACTGATCCATAGGGGAAGCTTTAGATTTAAGGTAGGCATTACATACAGGCCGGTTGTAAACGCCAGTAGTCTAGAGTATTATTATATCGTGGATCTGTGTTTAACGTGAATGGTAATTAAGCGAAATGTATAGGCTTATGTATATATATATATACAGTAAACTTGTGCATTTGGAACATTCAGATAGTTTTCTCCTTTAACTTTGCATGTATGAGATACCTGATGAAAAGTCTCGAAATAGTAGATAGTAAATCGTAATAATAATAATAAATAATAACTTTAGTGGACGTTAATTGCACGTGCATTCTCTATTACATTTTCTATCTTTGTCTCTTTTTTGTTTTTTTTTTTTTGTACTTCGTGACAATTTAATCAGAGAGATTATTATTAATTAATTGTAGAATTGTTATAAATTATCTTTCTTTTATCGTTAGTGCTTAGTTAGTTAGTTCGTTCGTTTGTTTGTTTGATTTTTTTCTTTTGTTAATAAAGTTATCATTCTCAGTTTGTTATACGAATCATTTTAGGAGGAACAGAACAAACAGAGTTAAGAACAGTTATAGTACAATTTGGTAGACATTGTGGTAACGTACCTTATACAGTGCTTGTCAAAATATTGTGTTATAGCAACGACGATACCACGATGGTAATTGAGATTGTAAACTCCAGACACCTCTTATGTCAGCATCGTATAGGTTACGTGAATTCTCCATAAACAACGTTTATCGTTTTAAAAATGTATAAAGGAAATGTTTTATTAAACGAACTAGTGAAATCATTTGAGTTAATCTTATCGTTGATAAAATCGCTATCATTATTTTTCTTTCTTTTATCGTTTTTCAAGATAATCAAAATTTTTTAATTAAGAATACCTGTTGATACTCGATAGTATTTTATATTTAAAAATTCGTAACATATATATAGACGACTGTATAAAAATATTTTTCTTTGTTTAAATATAATCCGAAAAACAAATCACTTGAATACTTAAAAGTAAAAAAAAAAAAAGAAAAAAAAAATGAAAGTATTAATGATAGGATTTTAATTATTGAAGATAATATAATATTATAATAATATCAAAAAAAAAAAAAAAAAATGGATCCTAATGTTCTTTAAAACCAATATTACCTGTTGCTACTCCATAGCATTTCATTTCTAGAACTCGTTTCCTCTCTCCTCCCCCCTATCTTTCAAGAACCTCCCACCAAATCCAATCTGCGAAACTCTCTGAATAAAAAGAAGAGAAAAGAAAAAAAAAAAAAAAAAAAAAAAGAAAAAATGAAGAAAAGAAAAATCCTTATATCCCCGTAATATCTAAAAATGAAAATTCTCCGAAGACTTCGCGAGATTCAAATAAAAAAGATAACTTCTTTAGATATTAACTCGAGTACTCGAAAAAAAGAACTAGATAAGAAAAGATGAGAAAAATGTAAGAAGAAGTAGAAGTAGAACTAGAAGAAGAAGAAGAAGAAGAAGAAGAAGAAGAAGAAGTGGTGATAGTAGTAGTAAAAGAAGAAATATAAAGTAAGTAGTAGAAGCACATATAATATAGTACAATATAGTACAGTAATAGTATATAGTACTCGTAGTATTCTAATAAAAAAAAAAAAAAAGAAGAATAGTAGGAGGATGATAGAGAAGATAGGGCGTTACGAGAAGGTTGCGTCATACGTCGTTCGGTTTTCCGGATAGGGCAGTAATTTGGCGGTACAGCGCATGCACTGTAAACCGGCTCCGGGTCAACGGCAAGAACCCCAAGTTAGTTGAGTTTAGTCGTGCGACGAACGTCAAAGCGCATACAAGAGAACTAACGGGTTGAGACAGTTGTGCAACGCGTTCAAATTTCTTCCGCGTTGCATTACGATACGCGCGAGTTGAATATTCTCAGAAAGGGAAGGGTTGCGGCAGGTGGGTGGGTGGGGGGGGCTTAACGCTGTACCTTCTCTCTCTCTCTCTCACTCTCTCACACACACACATCGTTCACCTAATGTAAGTCCAACCAACCCTACGACCTACCGAACCAACCAACCCCCCTCTCTCAATTCTCAATTCTCTACTCACCACCCCCAAAACCACCCACCCGGTCGGTAGCGCGCGCGCGCGCGCGTGCGTGCGTGCGTGCGTTCGTTTCGTCCGTTCGCGTTCGTTCGTTCGCTGGTTCGTTCGTTCGCTGGTTCGTTCGTTCGTTCGTTCGTGTGCTTTCTGACAGGAGGTACGTTGCTGAAGAGCAACAGGACGAATAAAAGAGAGAGAAAGAGAGAGAGAGAGAAAGTTAGCTATCTATCCATTGGTTCTTGTGAGTGAGAAGTAAAGAAAAAATAAGAGTAGGGGGATCATAGAAAGTTTTATTCTTTTGACGAGGAAGGGGTTAAAATAAGGGTTACCACCGATTGTTTTTTAAAGGATTTAATAAATTTCATATCACATCCTCGTCGAGATTATTTCTCTTTTGGAATGTTCATATATATTTGTTATTATATTAATTTTTATTTTTTACTTCTTCCTATTTTTCTTTCTTTTTTCATAATTAATTTAATAAGATTGGGATAATGAAAAATAGATAGAGTATATGTTTATATTTGAAATGATAATTACTTTTTTTTCTATTAATATATATCGGGATGATCCTATGGGATTGTTAAGTGAGATCCTTCTAAAGGATTTCCTTTGAACGTATGCTTCTCACAGTATATTGATAGATACATGGATAGATGGATAGATGGTTGGATTGATGGATAGAGAGGAATTGTGAACCGGTTTCATGCGTGTCTCCCGGTTGGTGTTCAACTCAAGGATCGGTTTTCCACGTTGCAAAGGAAACCGGTACGGCAAAGGACAATCGTAAACTATAAAGCAATTCCGATGCTTTGTTTTAAAGGTATATTAAATTCATAACTGGGCTTTTCGCTGCTTTGTTCGACAAAGTTCGATGGACTCCTCGTGTGCGCGCAAAACACACGTAAAGGATCGTATTATTTCGAAGATTTCATTTCTCTCTCGATCATGTTTTAATTTTTTATTATTATTATTATTATTATTATTTAAGTGACTATTGAGACGATTGTGTGATAAGTTTAGTTTTCTTTTCTTTTTGTTTTTTTTTTACTTTCGTTGGTGATATTATACGTGACGATAAAAAACTGTAATTAAAGAAGAATAACCTTTTTACAAAATCCGAAAGGAAGAAATAAGAAATAAAGAAGAAGGAGATCGTATATCGATTTTTGCTTAAGAGGATTGTGGACTTTGTTTCTGCTTATATATCCTGACAAGTTACTTTGGTTGGTTCCTGTTCGAAGATTGCGGGAGGAAGGAAGATCCTATTTCTTGCACGTGATAACTTTTTAAGCTGATAAAAGGGTGAGTCGAGATAAGACAAAAACAAGATTTCCAAAAAAATGTTTGATCGTTCGATAAGATGTTAAAAAAAAAAATTACCTACCCTTCATCAGGATCACCACGGTAATAGATTAGCGTGAAACGTGATAGGGGTTTTATTTTTTGGTACGTTTCTTCTATCTTTTTCGAAAATAAAAGATACCTATATAAAAAAAAAAAAAAATAAACGCGTGAAATACGAATAAAAAAATTTGTTGAGAGAAAAAAAAAAACTACAAATTGGATCTCGTGCGATGATGATCTATGCATTTATGTGCCATACGAAAACACCTGTTGGTTATCAATTAACCGAGGGGTTTAGAGGGGAGGGTCCGAACTACGGTAAACTATAGTACGTACTTTCATTGGGATCGTATGCTTTAACGTGAATCGATTTTTAAGATTTCTTTTTTTTTCTCATCTGCTTCTTATTCTTCTTCTTCTTCTTCTTCTTCTTCTTTTCATCAATTTTATTTTTATTTGTTCATCGATCGACGATATATCTCGGCATTTGTAACGTTTAACCATCTAGTTTCTAGTAGATACATATATACATATATATATATATATATATGTATTTGTTTTCTCTTCCCGGATGCATGAAAGACGACGAAAGCAACGTGTAACTCTCGGTTAATTAATAGTTTGCAGCTTGTTCTCGCTTTTAAACGATTAAAGTGGGACGAGCTAGAAAGATAGGATTAAGAGAGAGTAAGAGAGGAAGAAAGAAATAGAGAGAGATAGAGAGAGATAGAAAAGGAATGACAAAAATGTGTATTAGAGATAGAAAAAGAAGAAAATATAGAAGTTCATCCTCTATCTGTAAAGGAATAGATGACCTATTATTCCCGTTCGATATCGAATATGCGCATATGTGCATAAAAGAATGAAAAAGAGTATCTAGACGATCGTTGATACGTTCTACGCGGTTTATCTCCACTTTTCCACTAACTTCTTGTGTGAATTATTCAGCAAATACATGGAAAAAAAAGAAGAAAAAAAGCCCCCTCCTTCAAAAAAAAAAAAAAAATGAAGGAAGGAAGGAAGGAAAGGGTAGTAGTATAGGGGAACGATTAAGAACACGGGATTTTTTTTCTACGTATGGGTACATCCTTGTGAGTACATATGCATGTATAGTTATATATATATATACTAGTCTCTTCCTATCGTTTTCTTCGGGATGATTAATAGGATTTTACGAAAGAATCATTATGCGAATACGTTGAATGCGAAATTCGATTTACGGTTCGGACCGATATCACGAACACGTGAAGGAAGGAGGGTTCTTATTTTTTTGCTAATGAATTTTTTTTCTGAAATATTTTAATATTTTTCTTATTGGGGAAATTTCAAAGAAGGACAGAGAGAAGTGAGTTGGATATAGGTTGATATTTATTATCAGATAATTTCAGATGCAAATTGGTATTTCATTATCTGTTCGGTCACGTTTTCAAAATTTTACTTCGTGTACACAAAAACGATGTATATATATATATATATATATTTAATATAAATAATTTGTTATTTTCACTGGAATCACAATATATTATATCCGAGAACGACAAACAAATTGTAATTATTTAATTTGTTTTTTTTTTTTTTTTTTTTTTTTAATTTACATTTGAATTGATTTATTTGCATAATTACGATATTTATTTACGCCGATATATTCGAAGTTGATTCAAGTATATGCGTTAAAGGTATTTAATATTAAAAAGGGGAGTTTTTTTTTTTTAACGAGTTAATTTATTTCATACGCATTGTTTGTGTTAATAATTAGGGGCGCGAGAAGGGGTTATGAGGGGATGATAACGATTGAGAAGTGGATATTGTTGCGTCAAATTCATTCGCGTCATTTTCTTTTGTATTCGATCATCCTTTTGTTTCACGTCTATTATTTATCTTTATATACTTGTTTCTTTTTTTTTTCTTTTTAAATTGTTTTTTAATTTCTCACGAACTCCGTCTCTGTTATATAATCCTTTTATCACGGTCGAGTAGTAGTCGATAATACAGTGGTCTCTGCATATTGCCACTGAATGCAATTTATTAAAGTCGAATGCATTGCTTGCGCTTAATATCGTGCACGTATAAATAATAAAATCAACGTTCTGCATCAAATTAATCTACCTAGAATTCCACGAAGGGTCAATATTTGCAATTTTCTCCCTCTCTCTCTCTCTCTCTCTCTCTCTCTTTTTTTTTCTTTCTCTCTCTTTTATTATTTACTTAAATTCAATGTTTTGTTTCCTTGAGTTATTTCTTTTCTCGTAAATCTGATTTACGCGTTGTTGTTATTTATTCTTTCATCTTATTTTACTTTACCGAATTTCTCTTTCTTCCTAATTTTTTTCTTCTTCTCTATAATATATTTTCATTTTTTTCTTTACCATGAGAATTCTTTGTACGCGTGGAAAACAAAAAAAAAAAGAAGAAGATTAAATAAAATTTTACAACGCGTGTTAAATGCATTTTTCTTTCGGGGAGAAAACAAAAAAACTACTTGCTTCGTATGACTGTGGTATTTAAAAAAAAAAAAAAAAAAAAAGAAAAAAACAAAAGAAAAGGATTAAAGAAAAAAATATTTACATAAAGAGAGAATTTACACAGAAAGAAAGGGGTTTGACGATTTAAAAACATTTTTATCGTATTTTATGCTCGATCGTGATGTGTATGAAAAATTAAAAAAAAAAAAAAATAAATGGGAGAGCGAGAACGGAAAGAGTAAGGGTAGGTAAAATGGGAATAAAATAAAACGAAAAGATGCGAAAGGATAAAAGGGTAGTAAAAGAAAAAGGGGGAGGGAGGGGTGGTAGGTTAAAACATCGTATCGAAAACAATGGGAGATGAGTTTGGAGATGTGAGACTCGTTAATGCCCTAGCTCGATCGATCGTTTTATCCAACAGCTGTTAGCAAAGCACAAGCCTTCATCGTTTTCAAAAGTTATCATCGTTTGCTTATTTTACAAAGTATGAAAGAAAGAAAAAAAGAAAGAAAGAAAGAGAGAGAAAAGAAACGAATGTTTCAGCACTTAGGGATACCTATTATCGAATCGTAACATGCATTATACTTTCGTACAACGTAAAATCGGTGAAACAAACGTGACAAGTTAAAAAATCGAAATGTTTTTAAATAGGTGAACACATTTTTAAAAGATTATATTCTACTTATAAGAACATACAAAAATGATAAAGAGAGAGAGAGAGAGAGAGATATATATAGGTGTGTTTGTATCTAGAAAAATAAATTTAGATATTAGATTAGAAATTGTAGACAATTATTATATCTATGGAAGTACGCACGAAAGATAAACGAATGAACAAACGAGAGTAAAGAATTATGGGTTGTATTTTTCTAATAAAAAAGAAAATAATAATGTAAAATTGGAAGCATTTTTTTTTTAATAAGCGGAGAGTGCACTACAAAAAATAATATAAATATATTATTATAATAAGAAAGAAAAATATTGCTTGTTTATATTTCTTTTTTTTTTTTTTTTACAAAATCAAAGTATCGCGAGATGAAAAATTTTTCATAGATTATTATATTTATGCACAGGTATAAAAGAAGATTAGGGAAAAGAAAGAAGAGGTGAGGAGGAGGGGGGGGGGGAGAGAGAGAAAGAAAGAAGTCTTCTTTGTATCACGAGAAAATCAAAATGTCACGAGATGAAAAACTTTTAAAGATTATTACACGTATGAGGAGGAGAGGGGTGGCATATGAGAAGAATACGAAAGATAAAGAAAGAGAGAGAGAGAGAGAGATAAGTGTTTGTATCTCATCCATCATTCCATCGGAACAGCCCATAAATCGAATATTTAATATGAAAAGCTTTAGGAACGTTCTTTGTGCGTTCCTAAAATAGAAAATAGTAATATAAAAATAGGGAATAAAACATATATTTATCGCGAAAAATTTATTTCCGCGAATTGTTCATATCATTCTTTTTCTATTTGTTTAAATCTTTTTTTCTCCTCCCCCTCTCTCTCTTTCTCTTTCTTTCTCTCTTTTGTCGTCATCATCGTTATCAAAAAAGAAACGGATAAAAGAAAATATTTATGAAATTCTATGTTAGTCTCTTCACATGAATGTATAAAATTTCATATGGTTTTCTATGGATTCGATGTAGATATATATATATATATATGTATGTATATGTATCTATGTAAAATACATGGTTCTCTTCGTATCTTGCATATAAATTGAATATTAATATTGTATCGCGATCTTTTTTCCAAATTTTTCCTATTTTTTTTTTTATTTCTTATTTATTTGTTCCTTTTCTTTAGAAAAATATAAAAGCGAAGGGATAAAATGTGACAAATTGTATATTCGTTTGGAATAGACAATCCGAAAAGTTCGGGAACTAAATTTGTAGTATTTTTTATATTGAACATTCCGAAATTTATACGAATTCAAGATAATCGATGGCTCTGGTAAAAAAAAAAAACAAATAAAAAGAAGAGAAAAGTAAATAAATAAATAAATAAATAAATAAAAAAAGAACATAAGATTTTTCCTCGAGCAAGTTATAGTCGATTAGTGAAATTGAATAATTAACGCGTTCGTTATCGTGTAAGTCATCTCTGATCGACAATGGAATTTTCCGATTTTTAATTAAAATATGTATAATATAGTATCTCCGATACGTAAAATCTACAATAATGAGAAAATAAAAAAGAGATTATCGAGAGCTTGAAATGTTTCTTCTTATTATTTTCGTTTTTATTTCTATTCTTTTAAGTGAATCGATCATTTTCAAAATGATTTCTGCAACACAATAAGAAGATCACTTTCGTAATCAATTAATTTTTTATATATCTTATGTTAAATATTTATTTTGATATATCATATATAGTTACCAGACTAATTTAACAAATAATGTATGCATTTGTTTGTACAATTACTGAATAACGAATTGAAATCTAAATTTAAGTATTATAATAATGTTCTCATATATAAATCATAGATTACTTTGTCG